AGGTCCCCCTCATGCACCTGTTCACGACGATTCCTACAAGGGCATGTTTATTCCCAGAGGTACTTCGATCATTGGAAACCTTTGGGCCATCCATCGCAATCCACGAGACTATCCTTACCCCGATGAGGTACGACCTGAGAGGTTCTTGGAAGAGCGACAGCCAAATCCTAGCAAAAAGGGCATCTTCACATTTGGTTGGGGTCGACGCCTTTGTAGTGGGCAGCCACTTGCTGAACAAGGTATCTGGTTTACCATCGTGGGATTACTCTGGTCATTCAAAATGCGATCTACCGATGAACATGTGAGTGAACTGCGGATTCGCCGCAATGCGTCAATTGATCAGTTGCTGATGATTTGACTCAATTTAGGGAAATTCCAAGGAGCTGGATGTTTTTGCATTTAATGATAGCCCAGCCCCAAGGCCGCTGCCATTCACGGTGGAGTTTAAGCCCCGGACTAGTAATACCAAAGGCATCATTCAAGCTGCTGCTTTGAAAGCTGAAGACGAGCTGCGCAAGTACGACGTCAATAGTAAAGTAGCTATAGAAAACTTCCAGTAATCGTGTAAATAGTGTTTCCGGGCGAACTTTCCAGTGAGCAATTGGGAAAGGGGGGTGGGGTTGCTTCTTCGCAATATACAGCGTTCTTCGTAAGCAACTCAATCAACCATGAGGACCGAACTGGATTTGGCTGCGACACTGTTATGCCATGATTCACTATAATCAATCATCGAACGCTTACTAACCGAAACTTTCCAGACATACAGCAAGACAGACCTCAGCCCCATGCCCGACGGCCCGAATGCCCGCCCGAATCCTGTCTTTATGTAAGGAACCGGCCACACCACTCTGTGGCCAGATACGCCTGGCTCTCGTAGTTAGATTAGTCAAGTTGCCTTCACGAAACTCATGTGATTATTAATGTGCCATATCGGCGTCGATATTGTCGTTATCTCTACTGACTACAGCCAGCCATGAGAATCTGAGATACCTCGAGCTAGAATACTATATGTGGCGTTATGAGAAGAACAGAGACCTTCTCCCTCCTTTTTGAGGGTGCATGCTGGTTGTTGCCAATCGATATCTCGGGTTTGCAATGGTCTGGGTATGACACTCATTTGTCAATGCGTTACAGACCGACCTCATGCTTCGCTCATGGAAACCCAGTTTTCTGCCATCAGGCATTCGGTGTCAAACAACCCCAATGCTGCTCTCTCGCGGATTCGGAACTGATGCACTCAATAGCCGTCCTATCATAGGTTATCATTATTCAATCCGAGCAATCGGGAACAGTCTGTCGAAGATGAGTGCGATAGCAAAGCACGGCATAAAGCGACACTCATAGATGATTGGCAGTGCCCGGCCAATTTCAGCGCCTGGGAAAGTTCGGGGAATCCGGGGAAAATACACCGATGGAATTGATAAACGTCAACCACGGTTAACGTCAACCACGGTTCCCTGATTGGCTCAAGCTGGACCGTAGGCACTTCTCTCGCTGATAAGCTGCCAGGTGTGCTCAGATTTACTTGTCTTCTGCGGGCAAGCCACTCAAAAAGTTGCGATAACTTGGGAATAGCTACGGCTTCCTCTTCCTTGACCCTGGACATTAATGCCAGGCTCTGCCGTATACTATGCTTATCTAGCTGAGTCGAGGGGGGGTCGAAAGAGGCAAGCTGTGCTCTACTCCAAAGCCGTTGAAGCTATGGCTATAAAAAGAGCCCATGTCGGGTGTCGTCTCCACCCCACATTAGTTGAGGCTATCTACACTTGCTACATCTCTGCAAACCCAGGCAATGTCAGTGCTTCATCGGAATTTTTATCGAAATCGTTGAGACACAGTCATTCGAAACACGTTGCGCAAATATGGCTTCGCTGAAACTGGGCAGTACTCTTTCGTATGCGCTGATCTTTTGCGAGGCAGTTTTCAGCATTTGCATTATCTCCTACGATGCCGCCATGATCAACAACCTGAACGCTGTCGTGCCGTACCGACAACGTAGGTTGAATAGCATCACATCTAGTATAAAATGAGCCACCATGGTTGACAAATTGCAACAGATTTTGAACTCAATAGTGATATGGTCGGTCTCAATGCTGCCATCATCAGCGCCGGGTGCATCATTGGCGCTCCCGTTGTTGGCCACCTCGTCGATCGCTGGGGGCGCAAGGCTGGTCTTGGGCTAGGCGCTACGAGCATCATCATAGGCGTCATATTAGAAGCATCCGCAACTAAAGGTGAGTGCGCCATGTCGGCTTCTCTCTCACCAGGACCTTGACTTACACACATGTTCCTCAGTTGCACAACTCGTCTGCGGTCGCTTTCTCATCGGCTTTGCTACTTTGATCAACGGTTCTGTGCCGCCCATGTGGATTATGGAGCTGGGAGCGCCCAGATATAAATCAATGCTGGCCAACGCCGTGCTAGTCTCCGCGCCATTTACCGCCTTTTTCACTACATGCATCTTTTTAGGGATATGGGATAAGCAGTCAAACTGGGCATGGCGTGGAATCATGCTTGTGAGTGACTTTTGATGACGACGCAGACCGTAGCTGACTTCTTGTGTAAAGGGAGAAGCGGTGCCATCTGTCCTTGCTCTATGCCTCCTACCATTCGTTGACGAGAGCCCACGATGGCTCTTCCACAAGGGCCGCACTGAAGAAGTATGTAGCTGTATGTGATATAGGCCGAACCTTTGTGTCTAAAACTGTTTAGGCCATCGAAATTCTTGCTCGTCTGCATGCCAACGGAGATCGCCAACATCCCTTGGTGATCGCAGAGACTCAGGAGATCATGGGAACTTTGGAACATGAAGAGCAACACGACGGTGGCTGGAAAGAACTCATCGCGCCTGGTAAAGCGGGTCCCTGTTCCTCTATCCAGGTCTCAGACTAACATCTAACGAAAGCTTCCAATCTGAAAAGATTCATCATCGCCGTGCTGATAAATATTTGCTATCAAATTATAGGGGCAAACGCCATTCTGTAAGTCTACACGTCCTTCCAATGATGCGCGAGCTGCCGCCAACTTATGCACACCCAGATACTTCTCATCCTTCCTAATTGCCGGACTAGGAATTGAAAACTACGGTACTATCATCCAGGTGAACATGGGCCTACTGTTATGGAACGCCTTTTGCAGCCTTGCCGGCGTCTTCGTCATTGACAAGATCGGCACTCGTAAGGCTCTTAGTAAGTTTTGCTACTTTGATCCGTGTGACGCGTGTGATTCACAGTATATGTCTAGTCTTTGGCACAGCTGCAACTGTCGTCCTCTTTGCTATTCTTTCCGGCCTTTCGTACCTTGCAGACCAACATCCCGACGACCATCGATATGCCATTGGCGCCATCGCTGTTGTGGGCTTATTTCTTTTGGCCGTGTCTTTCAGCTGGTAAGCCTCGTCATAGCCTCGAAGACGATGCAGATCAAGCTAACACGATTGAAGGATGCTCCTTGCCTATACATATCCACCCGAGATCTTGAAATACTCACAGCGGTCTAAGGGTGTGGCAATTTCTCAGGCCATTGGCTATGCTTTCAGCTTTCTCAATCTCTACACGGCGCCGATAGCTATGGAGAAGATTGGCTGGCGGTACTTTGCCATCAACGGCGGGTGGAACCTCGCAATCTTGGCTACTGCGAGTTGGTTATTCGTTGACACAAAGGGCAGAACTTTAGAGGAGATTGATGAGATCTTTGACGGAATGGGTCATGCCGATGGCGTGATTATAGGAACGGATACTGCTCATAGCTTTGAGCTAGATACGACGGGCGAGGCAGGAAAGATTGTCAAGAAGAAGCCTACATTGGCCTCTACCAACACGAGTTAATTAGGGGGCCTACAAATACGGGGAGACGTCTGGTTAGCATGTTGAATCTTTGGTCAGCTCAGTTTCGGTCGACGGAGAGAATTGGATGGCATCCGCCCCTATGATTGGGTTTCTATCCGATGCACAGGTCTTACCGACGAAATTGTTAGGGATTCTGCCCTGGGCGAAAAATAGTTGAATGAGTGATGAAAGCCAGACGTTGCGTTAAGAATGACCGGGTGCTGAGCCCCGCATGTCCGCGCCCCAAAACGTTAGAAACTCTATCGGGCGTGGCTGGTGGACAGTGCACTTGGAGCACATACCCCACCTTGGTTCTGGGTACGTACCTCAACTCCCATCCTCCATCCATTTCTCTTCTCCTGCCAACTCTCACCAACTATCCTCTTCGGCAGACACAAAATACAGTACAATACTTATGATCCTTCGTCATCTTAAACCACTCTTGACTGATTATTCTATGGATCCACTACAGATAATCATCTTTCGGATTCCTAGCAGATCGAATATGTGTCACTGCATGTCATTACCGACCTTTCAAAGCTTGTGACCCCTTCAACCCATGGGATACTTATTCGTAATTGTGGAGGCTAGAATAATACTTGACGATAGCAGACACCTTTATATTCAAATACGATTCTCTACATTCAGTCTCTCGAAACGCCAAATCCTCAGCCGCGGAATGACAAAGCTATTATAGTATATTCTCGATGATGTGCCGCAGCACCTACTGGATATAAGTCACTTCCTTTGAGATCTAATTGGGACTGACGGTGTTCTCCTTCTCGCTGCCTGCTATACGTCATCGTTCTCCCGTACAAGTAGCTCAAGCCCTGTCGAGACAAATTCTGAGTACTTCTCTTCTGTCAGCTGTGGTTTTTGACTGCATGATAGATGCTCTGAGGAGGCTTTTGAGATATCGGGCAAAGCCTGATTTGGTCACTTCAAAGTTCCTCGTCGGCCCAAATCGGGATCGCGCCCACAGTGGTGAACCCATTATTCATAGGAATTGGAGTCATGGGTAGGGTGAAGACAGTGCTTTTGAAAGCCTTGTTAGCTGTAACTCATCACAGGGTCCGTAGCCGCAAGCAACTTGCTGGAGCTCACTTACTCAATGTCAGACGTTGCGGTTATGCCCGATCCGGTCGTGGCCGTGGGCTGGGGGTTTGGATCGACTCAGCTGCCGCCTGGGTTGGAGGCGCACACAACAAAGCCGACATATCGTGCGACGTTCTGACAAGACCGGCCGAGCTCCGGGTTCCAGGACACAATCTGGGCCCAGGTGGCCTTTGCCGAGTTCGCAATTGTGGTGCAGGTGTCGTCTGCCTTGACCACGTATGGCTTGCAGACGGCCGCGGGCGGGATACAGAGCGTGCTCCCGGCGGCCGTGGGGAAGTTGAAGCAATTCGCTACAAGGTTGTTCGCGGCCAGCAGCTGAACTGTGTCGATGCTCTGCTGCTCCGCAACGGATTGGCATGTGTCTCCGGCCTTAATGGTGTACTTTATCCCAGCGCATGAAGGCGACGCCGCCTGAGCTCCCGTCGAAGCCGTGACGGGCGTGTCCATGACACTCACCCAGGCAGGGCTTGCAGACGGGGGAGGTGTGACGTTGACGGTTGTCTTACAGGACGAGGCGATCATGCTGAGGCCATTCGCCAGGTCGGCGTTTGAGGCCAGGGGAGCCTCAACCTGTGTCTTTATGACAGAGAGGGCGCACTCATTGCACATCACGCTGGGGTCCGACGAGCCGGTGCGTTGCTGGTTCTCCGGGTTGATGCCGGCAAGCTTTCCGATGACCAGGTTACAATTCTCACCTGCACTTGCTTTTCGTTTAGTGTGAGCCTTCAGCTTAACGATGCCACGCCGCTCCTTCTTGTGAAACACATGTGAAGTGAAGAAAGCATAAAACACACCTACGCACCAAAACACACATACGAAGAGAGAGAGAGAGAGAGAGATGTACAGAAATGGGTCGAAACGAAGGAGAGGAGAACCTACGCGTTCGTCGCGCACAAGACGTTGAATCTCTCCCAGGCCAGTTCGGCGTCGTAGCCGGCGTGATAGCTGAGCCCATTCTTGTCGTCGGTGTAACGACTCGTCTCGCAGGCGGACTTCACCTCATCGAGATAGACGCCGAGAGCAGCCCTGCAGGTGGGCGTGCACAGCGAGTTCATCGTGTCACTGTCGTAATAGTAGTTGATCTCAGTCGCCCAGGTCAAAGACTCGTTGCAGTTGATGTCTTGATTGAGAACGCCGATGCAGGTGTCGTTGAGGCCGGGAGTGCCAGGGGGGATGTTGGCAAGGCGGATATCAGCCACAACGCGGTGGGCGAAGACCATGACCAAAGAAGCCACACCCTTGAAATTCTTCATTTTTCCTGATTCTGAGTATATCTGATGACGATGGGGGAAGCTTTCGCGGCGTAGGAATCGGCCGGTAAGATAATGGATGGGTGAAACAAGACGAGAAGGACTCAGTTGTCGAGCCGGAGTGAACTCGCCCAGCTCGAAGTGCGGCTTTTTGATGCCGAGTCCTGGTCGTCTGCAAGGTCCAGATTTGCCATGGTCTGAGTATGAACGATAGTGGAGCCATGGCCCTGTTGCATTCAAAGAGCTTGTTGCCTCGATTAAACTTAACGAGCCGCTGCCGTGCGGGTCTGCCAAGTCGGAAATGTCACACTATTTGAGACTGGTGTACGGGGTCCGCATCGTCGGCTTCACCTATCGACACATCTCGGATGTCAGCGCCGGCAAGGCTCTACTGTTACCGGAGGGGCGTACAAATGACCATGGAGCAGTAAGAGTGAAATCCTTGCTGCACCGACATTAGAGATGCCTGAGTGGGTACGGAATAGGTGTATGGAAACAAGCTTCGGCTTGTTGGTTGTTGGTCGTGTCGGTTGTGTTGGTCCAACACACTCGAGTTGATCTATCCGTAGGCACCAACCGGACGTTCTCCGACGAGCTGTCCACCGCCAAGTGTCCAACCTAAGCGGGCAGGCCAGCTAGTCAAAAAAAATGGGAAGGGGTTCTTTTGAACCCTGTTCCAACAACTTCACTTCCAACAGACTTTGGTTGCAAGGGTCCAGTTGCCGTTTTGGGTCTAAAGCAATCATCGTGGTTATCCTCTCGAGCCTCGTGATGCAGTCGCGTTTAGCGCGCTGTGTTTATACGATTCGTTTCTCGCTGAAGAATCTGCTCATGGTGGAGATAACTAATTTGCTGCTCGCAAATGTCAGCAACAATCATCAGCCATGGCCGGCCTGGAACCAAGTCGTGATCCATCCGCAAGACAGGGGCGAATGAGGTTCTTCTCCGAGGCTCGTTGCAGAACCGCCAGTAGATCAGGTTCTCGGAACGAACGGAGCTTCACGAGAAGAAAATTAGAAGGCTAAATTAGAGAAAAAGAGACACTTCTTGCGCATTATTCCCTTACTCCTCCCGCTCTGTCCTTCTCTCACTTAGAAGAGACTCCCTCTCAACTCTCAATAGCGTGAAGCTCCGCTGAAAGCTGCCACTCATTTGGTATTTTACTTGCCCATAATTTTGTTCCATCATCAAACGAAACTTCCTGTCTTTTTAGTGTTCCCTTTTTTTTTTCTTTTTTTTTTGGTTTTCGTCATCGTTTATACCAAGACACTCATTATCTTCACTTTCCTTCGGCTGGCTACGGCCTCATCATCATCAGCACCATGCTGTTTTCCCCGGTTCTTCTTTTCCTACTGGTGCTTAGAGTCACCAGCGTTGCCCAAGGAAAATCCGTCTTCGCCCACTTCATGGTTGGCAATACAGAAGCCTTTGGCGTCAGCAACTGGGAGGCTAACATCGAGACTGCGCAACAAGCCAAGATCGATGCCTTTGCCCTGAACATTGCCCATGGCTGGTCACATAATGACGAGCAGATAGCCAATGCCTTCACTGCGGCCAGCGCCAAAGGCTTCAAACTGTTCTTTTCTTTTGACTACGCCGGCGGCGACGTTCCTTGGCCGCTTGCCGAAGTCAGAGCTCTTATTCAAAAATACGGCGCCAGCGCGGCGCACTTCCAGTACCAAGGCAAGCCCTTCGTGTCTACCTTCGAGGGCCCTGACAACGCCGATGACTGGAACACGATCAAGGCAGACACGGGCTGTTTCTTCATCCCGGACTGGTCGTCCCTCGGTGCTGGCCCGGCTTTGGACGCCGGTGGCGGCGTAGCCGACGGCCTCTTCAACTGGGCCGCCTGGCCTTACGGCGAGCGGAACATGACGACCTATATTGACGCCGCGTATCACGGACTGCTGGGCTCCAAACCCTACATGATGCCCGTGTCACCGTGGTTCTTCACAAATTTGCCCGGATACAGCAAGAACTGGCTGTGGAAGAGTGGTGATCTGTGGTATGACCGCTGGAAGCAGGTCACGTCAATGGACTTCGAGCCTGAGTTCTTGGAGATCATCAGCTGGAACGACTACGGGGAGTCTCATTACATTGGGCCCCTCGACGATTCTCAGTACGAAGCCTTCACTGTTGGAGATGCCCCTTACAACTATGTCAAAGAGATGCCCCACGACGGATGGAGAACGCACCTTCCGTTTCTCATCGATCTCTACAAGACCGGCTCGTCCTCCGTCACCAAGGAGAGCATGGTGACTTGGTTTCGCACATCTCTCAACGATGTCTGTGCTGACGGCTCCACTACCGCCAACACGGCTAGTCAGCTACAATTCGAGTATTTGCCGGGCCAAGTGATGCCGGACCGCATTTACTTCTCGGTTCTCTTGGCCAGCCCGGCCGAGCTGAAGGTCTCCTTCGGAGGCACCGACTATTCCATCAGCAACTGGGACTACACGCCGGACGGCGGTGTCGGAATCTACCACACAAGTATCCCGGTCCTTGGTACCGGCGGCGCTTGGCGTGCGCAAGTCGTGAGAGGAGGCAGTGTGGTCATCGACTACTCGGTGCCCCAGGGTATCTCTGGAAGCTGTCCATCCGGTGTCGTCAACTGGAACCCGTGGGTAGGATCGGCTTCCGCGAGCGGCTCCGTCTCCGGGAAGCCTCCGCGTGACCTATCCGAGCAGACTTGCATCCAGGGCTGGGGCGAGGGCAACTTCAACGACATCTGTAAGTTCACCTGTAAGTACGGCTACTGCCCGTCCAGCGCCTGTGTCTGCACCAACATGGGCGAAGCCATCAAACGGCCCAAGTCGACAGGTGTCCTCGGCTACCCTGCCAATGGCGATGCCAATTACGGCGGGTTGTGCAACTTTGCGTGTAACCTGGGATACTGCCCTTCCACTGCGTGTTCTACGGAGAAGCATAACCCGTACGTACCCAAGACTTCACCTTTCAACCCAAACACCTGCACCGACGGCGGGGGACACGGGACCGTCTCTCGCCTCTGTTCGTGGACGTGCCACTACGGCTTCTGTCCTATTCACTCCTGCTTCTGCACCAGACAGGGCCCTCTCAATCTGCCTCCTCCGACGGTCAAAGTCAGCGGCGTCAAGGCCAACTTTGGCAACGACAACGGCCTGTGTGCTTTCGCCTGCTCTCACGGATACTGCCCTTCGCCCGAGTGCAGCTCCGATGGCGGCGATGGTGGCGGCGACGACGACGGCAATGGCTCCGGCGGCGGGAGCCCCGCCGTTAACGTGGTCGTCGGATACTTCCAAGCAGATAGCATCACCCGCCGAGGTTGCGCTCAGAGATCCGCCAGCTTCGTCCCGACGAACTCGGTGACGCACGTCAACGCGGCATTTGCGTGGGTCGAGGCCGGGAGCTTCTCCTTGATCCCTGGCTCCAGCACCGGGATTGACCAGCTCAAGCAGCTCACTGCGCTCAAGAGCCAGGCGCGTGGGCTTCATGTATGGCTCACACTCGGGGGATACGACTTCTCAACCGGCTCGCGTCGGGCATCGGATACGGAGGGTATCTTCGCCGACATAGTGAGAACCTCGCAGAGTCGGCAGAAGTTCCTGAACAATCTCGCCTCCTTCATGCAAGAATTCGCTTTTGACGGCGTCGACATCGACTGGCAATGGCCAGCGGCCGGTGATGAGTCCAAGAACTATGCGCTACTGATTCAGGAGATGCGGCTGTATTTCAACTCGCACTCGGCGACGTCGTCGGCCTGGGGTATCTCTTTCACGGCGCCAGTCGAAAAGGAGACTCTCGCACGTTTCGACCTCGCAACCATGGCGGATGCCGCCAGCTGGATCAACCTCGTCGCCTACGATGCTGACAGCAAGGATCAGAGCGTCACGCGCGCCATGTCGGACCAGAAGTCCATCGAGGCCGCAGTCGACGCGCTGGGTAGCGCAGGCGTCCCGGCGACCAAGATCAACCTCGGCATCGGTTTCTTTGGCCGCTCATACACGCTGGGCTCGACATCATGCTCCGGAGTCGGATGTGCTGCGGTGGGCGCCGGAATCTCAGGACAATGTACCGGGAGACCCGGCTTCATGTCCTACGACGAGATGAGTTCAAACCTTGGTCTTCGTAACAGCAAGGTCGATGAAAGCACTGGCATCAACTACCTGAAGTATGTTTCTCATGTTTCCTGCTTGCTCTTGTGGGCTTTGTTGCCCGTGATCGGGACGTTCATGATGGCTAACTCGCTTCCTCCGCTACGGCGAAGATAACAAGCAGTGGATATCTTACGAAGACCGCAACTCAATCATCAAGAAGGTCAAATACGCTCAAGGCAAGGGGCTTCTTGGAATCGCGGTCTGGTCCATCGACCTAGACGATGACGATCACCACCTGCTGAACGCCACGTTATACCCAGGTGGTCTGGGGAGCTTTGCGTTGGCGACGGGCACCGACCAGGCCGACTCATCCAACTACACCTCGGTCGAGATCAGCTCGTGTGCCTGGTCCGACTGCGGGACGTCGACGAGCCCATCGTGCCCGCCCGGCCAGCAGGTCCTCACGACCGACCGCTGCAACGTGGCCTCGGGAACCGGAGAGAAGCTCTACAAGGCCTTATGCTGCCCGTTCGGGCAGACCCCCGACTCTTCGACTTGCGATTGGAACCGGTTGGACGGGGGCGACTGCGGCCGGGGCTGCGCCGACGGCCAGGTCCCCATTGCGTCGGGAAAGTGGCTCATCAACAAGAAAGGGCAAGAGAACTACTGCTTCTTCGGCATGGCTGACTACTGCTGTGCCGCCGAGGAGTCAGGCCCCGCTGTATGCGGCTGGGAGAACAAGTGCGTGGCTACCGGGACCAACGGGCTGCCCACGTCCAGCACCAACGTCTGCTCGGCAGGTCGCAAGTTCGTCACGTACGCAAAGGACTCGCCCGTCGTCGGTGCATGCAAGGGCGATGGGAAGGTCAACTCCTGGGTACCTTACTGCTGCGACCAAGACGTCGACGTGTCGTCGTTCAAGTGGTCAGGGGTCGCAGGCACAGCCGGAGATGGCTCCGACAAGTGCAACGACGCGAGGATCTGTCCCCTGGGCAAGACCTCCATCGCCACCTCATACCTGGGCGCCGGAAAGGACTGCACATACTTCCAGCAAGGGTACGCACTCTGGAGCGCCCAGGCGTTCCCCCGCGACGTCAAGCGCACGTTATGTGCGGACCCAAACGCCCTTCGAAGGACCATCAAGACTCTCCCGGTGCCTTTGGAGAACATCTTCCCGCACCCGGGCCCGGGCACGGACGAGCAGAGGTGGCAGGTCGAGCTTGACCCAACCATGGGCGGCGCCGATCCCACCCCCGAGGAGAGTACCAACGCGGACAAGAACTCGCTCGGCTGGTATATCATGTCCGGGCCGAAGGCCGAGCTCACCTCGCTGGACAAGCGGGACGGATCCCACTGGGAGCTCTTCGACTGCGAGCCGGGCGCGAACCACGAGGGTCGGCAGACTGTCAGGGCCGTGTGTACCGACAGCTCCTACGAGAGCAACTGCGGCGTCATCCACGAGGGCCACGGAGTCGCAGGAACTGTCATCGAGATGCCTGCCGGCTGCGGTCCCGGGAGATATGCCATGGCCGTATCTCTCGAGCCGTCCCAGAATCAGTCGCTTCCTCGACATCTGGAGAAGCGAGCAGACGAGCTGGCCGACTCTCCCATCTTCGACCTCACCTTTGACTACGACTTCTCCCCCCTGAAGAAGCGGGCCGGCGGCTCTAACGTCCTGCTTCGCATCGACTACAGCGACGATCCCGGCTACTGGAACCATATCGTTGCCGCTGCTCCGACCAAGGTGAAGCGGTCAAGACGGGAGATGGAGGAGGAGGTCCAAGGGACGCACGGCGGGAACTACCACCAGTATCTCTACCACTTGTGGACAGTGGACAAGCGGTCTACGCCGGAGGACGAACTACACGACCTGCACGCGCGTTGGTTTTCCAAGTCAGGCGCCATCAAGGACTGGATCGACCGGCTGCACAACGTCGACACCGAGTACGAGCTGGTTAGGCACACGGTCAACGAGCAGTTCCGCTGGAACATCTACGATGAGTCCGTGTCCTGTAACATCAAGGGCGTGGACACGACGGGCTACTTCACCGCGTGGGCGGATCTCAACGTCAACATCCAGTCGTCGGCCCTCGTGACGCTCATCGGAAACCTGCAGGACCTCAACTCCTTTGAAGAGTCCCACGTGCTGTTCCGCAACAGCGGCTCCGTCAAGGCGTCCATCAACGCCGAGGCCCTCGCTCACGTCGAGTTTCTCACGGGCGAGATCGAACTCTTCGGCCTCGAGAACTTTGGCGGCACCTTCACCGTGCCCGGCATCGTTACCATCGGTCCCAACTTCCGCGTGCTTGGCCAGCTGCAGGGTTCCGCGACGCTGCATGGGACTGCGCGCGTCGACCTCACACTCGCCGAGTGGGATTACACGCAGCAGTACCCCGACGCCAATGGCGGCGCCAGCGCCGGCGCCGTGACTGCGGCCAGGACGCCTAAGTCAAGCGGCGTACGCTCGTCGGATTCGCAGTCGGTGCTGCAGGCTCCCAAATTCTACTACGACGTGGACGCATCTGGCGAGTTGACCTTGTCAGTGGTGCCAAAGGTCACGCTGGGCATCGTTTTCAACGACGACTCGGTCTCGGACGCATCTGTAAGTAAAGTGGTTTCCTCGGCCGTGGATCACAATATACCCTCAGGCCCTCACTCTGCCACTGACTGACTCCTCTCATAGATCGACTTTGGCGTCAATGGTCGAGTCACCTTGTATGGATCCGCTGGTTCCAGCTCCGACTCGACGTGGCAATACTGCTACGGCGTCAATGGGGATGTTGAGGTTTTTGCACAACTGAATGCTCCGTAAGTCCTGCATCTGCTTCCTTTCCGTCAGTTGAAGTCGCTAACCGCTGTGACTAGAACGCTGTTTGGTAAAAACATCAACACGTATTACCCAGTATGGGGAACTGGATTGGTAGCTCTCTTTCTCTTTCTCTCTCTCCTCCCTCTTCTCTTTTGCTTACCCTTGTTGGTATTCTAATGCATTTGTCCGAAATGCTGTCTGATCACCCGCTAATAACGTGTACGAGTTCAGTTCCCCATCATCCAACAAACCTGCGCTGCAGCCGCTTCGTCGGTCTCGGAGACGACCCCGTCGGCCCAGCCGGCCAGGCTGATGAAGCGCGGGGACTTCATCGGATCGCTCATCTGCCCTGCATCGGCATCGGCCTCGGACGACGTGACACCGTGCCCCTTCTGCTGGGAGTCCTCTGCCACGACTAGCGATGCGAGCAGCAAGATCCGGAGGCGATACGGCTACGTGCTGGAGGAGCGCGCCGACGATGCTTGCCCGTTGTACACTGACGCCGACGCGAACAACCTCAGCTGCACCCTTGACGACCTCGCGGCCCGCGGCACCATTGTCCGCCGTCTGACCAGCAAGGACGGTGTGGTCGACTATGGCACCGAGCAAATCAAGATAAGCTTCGGGCAATATGCGGGCTGCAATGATGCCAAGACGAGCAGCAACATTCTCAGGTCGATCATCTTCAGCACGTCGGGCCGGCGATGCAATGCCAACGTGTTCAAGGCCACAAACACCGAGGCCAGAAGTGTCAAATTGAACACCGAACACGTTTACGAGGCGCAGACCCTCACCAAATTCTTCATGTGGCTGATGAGAGGGCCCGGCGTGACGGTCGGCAGCTACACCATGCCGACGGCGGAATGGGTGCTGGAGGTGTTGCTGGGTGTCGACATCCCAGGGGCTCAGCCGAACTCCTTCATCATGAATACAGCGCCTCTGGGCGTGAACATGCCTCCGGTGCAGCTGGATACTGTCTTGATCTGGGGTTTCGGGCGGTCCGATGGCGTCGGCCCCTCGCCCTTCACCAAAGCACGCGGCGAGTCCCACCTAGTGCTAGTCGACGAAATGATCAACAAGAACAAGGGCAAATTCATGATGCTTCAAAAAGTATCTGTACAACCCGAAACGCAAGCGGTAAATTCGTACCGGACTACATATCGCGAGGTCTTTGGCGTGTTTGAGTACCTCCGGTGGTCGCCTCCGAGCGGCACGGGTGGCTCGGGCCCTTTCCCCGTCATTGAACCCGTGTGGAATAAATGGATGCGGGTGTCCAACTGGTTTGACTTGGTGCTCTGGGAGTTTGACAACCAGTACGCCGGACGCTGGAACGAAAGGGCCGGGGCTCCAGTGAACAGCAATGGCAGCCCTTCGCTCCGCGCCCTCTATGCTCGATATATTGAGGATTACCTCCTGGCCATTGAGCAGACGGCCGCCCTCAAGAGCAACGAGGCCAAGACCGCCTACGAGAATAAATTCAAAAGCGTCAACTCCTTGGGAAACGTGGTGTGGAGTAATACCGACGACCCGAATTGGTTCAATGCCGCGTTCGGCGCCGGAGGCTGGGCCAGTCCGGCGGGGGCCAGGTTTCCGCGCCCAGGATCCGGGGGCACGGGATGGTCCATTTTCGGCGCCACCGGGAATCCCACCAAGACCATTAACGGGCAAGGCGTCGCAGTCAACATTGGTGCACCGGCTCGTATATAGGCGGCGGCGTTGTTGTTCTTCTTGTCCGGCGGTTGATGGTGGGAGGGCTCCTTGGCGATAGTGGTTCTTATATGTGTATATCTCACAAAGACTTATTCTCATAGCTGCATTTTTGTAGATACCCCTTATTAGTATGTAGAGAAAAGATAGAAACGGCGAAAGTAAATACATGCATGACTATATACATGAGTCTAGAATCTACATTTGACGAGTCAACTTCAAAAGCATGTGGAATATAAGCAGATTGTAATGAATTGGTTGAGTAAGCTTCCAAGACCTGTGTTTCTCCTTGAACTTCAAAAGCAATCCCCACCGATTAAGTGCGACGAAGCGTGCCCGCCTCTTCCAGAATTACAAAGTCCTCGGCTGGCGACTCTGACCGACGGTAAAGGCGAGCAGAGGGTCTATCTAGCTTGCATCGGCAAGTCCACTCCATCAACTACTCCTCGTTCACGAGCCTTCTCTCTTTCAAAATCGAATACGCCGTCGGGGATGAAATGCCTGTAGAGAACATCTACCCCATATCGGCAGGAACTCAACGCCGACTCTCCTATCATTTCAAACGCGACTTTGTCCCAGTTGAGTGGCGGTGTTCCTTCGTCCTCCTCATCATCATCGTGCTGGTCGCGAGACCGCCATTTGACCAGCAACCCTCTTCCGTACGGGCTGCTCTCAGCCCTCTCCACCATGTTGATATCCGGGTTTCTTGCTTCGCTTGGAAGACTTTGTGTCCAGGCGAGCGCCTCCTGCCAACGGATAAGGCCGGGCAGGTTCTTGGGTTTATCATTAAGCCTATCGACAACCACAATGCGACGGGCATAGTAGGCGTTACTTAATCCTTCTGGGAGGTACCATGAAACCGCCTCCGCCCTGTCCGCGATGGCCAGACGATTCTGGACTTCCCTCTCGTGATGAAGTATGCAAGCTGCGGCGTGCTGGAGACAGTGTGCGTCCTGAGGGTCCCGCGACGCGCGTGCGGCGAGACGGGCATACCAGGGGCTCTCTTGTGAAAGAACGAGGTCAAGCCCCACGTCCTCGGCAGAATACGGGCTCCCTGTTCCGGGCAGAGCTGGGAGGGGCATAGCAAAGACTTCAACTCTGTCTGGCAGCCCGTCAGAGCTGCGGCTATCTTTGGTGCCGTCAAATATGGCGCGGGCCAGGTCCTCAGTGCGTCCCGGATCAAGCGCGCCAGGAGAAGTGTCATAAAAGACGTAGGCGTACGCCGGGCGCAAGGGCGTCAGAGCGGCATCCTCCGGAGTGTCTGCGGGGACCGAGTATGCCACGAAAGCCGGAATACCGTCATGGCTAGGCGCTGAGTGAACGATGGTCTTGGGCTTCGGTTGGAGCTTCTTTCGAGGCGCCGGCCTGTCAAAGTCGATTGGCTGCGGCAGCGGCTCCTCGTCCTCCCGGTCGTGCACTGGGTCAGGCGGGGGCGAGGGTTCCGCGAAGCCGAGTCTGCGGCAACCATAACACATTGTTTCGATTTTCTTCGGCAGTACAAGCAAGCAGTAAGATTGGATTAATGGGCCGTCATGAAAAAGGTGTGTGTTGGGCTGCGGGCACAGTTGAAATCCTTGAAGAATGATGACTAATCATAATCATCCCAAGCTGTAGTTTCACCAGCATCACCACAGCCGATGCGATGAATGACTGACTGATTGCATATCATTTTCCCCCCACCTCTTAGTTGGCTACTGCTCGTACCCCGTTGTTTTCCATTTCTTGATATAAATGGAAGTTATCAACTGTGCATTCTCCGGTACATTCTTCAGAAGTTTACTCCTAGAAGCATAGTTGATGGGAATATGGTGGTGGTAGATCGCAGGGGCACCTATACACTGACCGGCACCTTATCTTGACTGCCAACCATCCGCTTTGACAGGCATGAAATCAGTCTTGAATCTCATTGGTGTTATTAAAAGCATTGCTCTTACAAAAATGTCTTCGTGATTTCTATTACTAGAATAATCTTCTGCAATTTGCCATCCCCCGAGCGCCAAGCAGCAGTAACCTTTTTGACAACATCGTGTTGCACAAGTATCGAACCCCACAAAGCCGTGCCTCTGTATGTGTGCTCCAGCCATTTTGTATAACTGCTGTCATGATTCTCCAGTATATTCGTTCAATTGAGGTGGAAGAAACGAGTCCCAATCGACCAAGGTACTCGCGGATTCTTCCCGCTGCCACATGTCCCAGTCAAAGCCACTGTCGGGTGGCATCGAAATGTCCATCTCATCTAGAAAATAAGTCGCAGGCTCCTCAGCTAACGAAGATTTCGGTATCTGAGACGATGGGTCCCCCGCAGAGTCTTCTTGCGGATGATTATTCATGTTGCCAAAAGTTTGCGAAGAGTCCCGCTGTATGTGCCGCGGGCCCGTCTCTCGAGGTCCCTGGTCACAGAAGTTCTTTCCGCCCTTGGAATGGGGGATTGCTGAGTCTGGCTGAACCAATGTCTCATGAGAGGCTACAGAATTTGAGCCTGGATGAGAGAAATCTTCTCTCCCATAAAGGGGTAATTTGAATGTCACCTGCGGTGGGTGTGATGGCCCCGGCTCCTGTGTATCTGCGGCGGCTCTTGAGAGGCCGGGATCCTCATCGACAGATATGTTCTGAGACCCGATCCGTTGGTCACCCATCATGCCTGTAGTGGTCGAATCGAATATGTCGTGAAATTGGTCTGCGACTTCGGGCCTGTGAACTGCGACGATTTCCCAGAGTCTCTTCAGCATCTCGCCAACCATGTCACGAGATGCGCGAAACTCAGTCGGGCTGGAGACTTCGCGGCGTTCGAAAGCTTGCTGGGCCTCAGGGTCGAATATGGAACGGGACAGCAATTCAATCTTTTCTGTAATGAAGTCCTCGTGGTTCTCGCAGACTGCTTCTTCTGTAATGAGATCCTCATAGTCCTCGCAGACTTAAAAGGTGTTAGTTTACAGGAAAAAGCGGCCGGGTAGAGCCTTAGATAGCCGACGCAAGGACTCACAAGGAGACTGGGCCCAAGGGTCACGGTTCGGAAACAGAACGCCCCAGACTTTCTGAAAAGTGCCCAAATGCTTCTTATAGGAAGCGTCGGTGCCTTTCTTGGGCCTCATTTGGCTGGCTTCCTTAAGTACTTCTTCGATAGCTTTCCAATCGTCCTCGTCCATGTGCAGTTCGTCCCGAGAGCCCCCAAAGTGCATCGAGCGCAAATGATTCCTAATTAATTTAGAATGCCTGTTGCTCTTTGGGACAATGCATCAACTTACTTCAGATCACTGAATGTCCTGAACGAGGTCGGCGCTCGACAAGCTCCACCCACCAAGTTCCGATACCCGATGAAGTAGGGACAAAGCAAGTGTTTGCTTGGCTCGTCGCGCCGAGCCCTTTTGGCCGGCGGCACCTCTCGTTTCTTATCTTCATCTTCATCTTCATCCTTGTCCCTCTTGAGTTGCAAAGGCGGTGATAGGTGGGTCGAAATGGCAGCACTGGCAGATGTTGCTGAACTTTGCGTTCCTGCCCCATTATTGCCAGTCGAACGCTTTCCGTTTGAGGAACTTCCTCCATCGACCGCTTCATATTCCACATAATTTCCCAAGGTGCGTAGAATACCCGTGAGCAGTGTTGATACCTCCGAAGAATCATGGCCTCGCGGTATGAAATCTTGAAGTCGACGTTGAAGGACGTCGACTACGGCGTCGGCATACTTTGGGCTGGCAGCTAGCACCCTTCGAATAGAACTCTCCAGTGGATATTTGTCGTCTGACTCGAGTCGTTCCTCGTCTTGCCCAAAGTTGTTTTCGGAGGAGTCATCACTGTGGTCGCCATCTATGCTGCAGGGCTTTTGGTGTCCTTCTTGGAACGGGCCAAGGGAATCGTCTTCAGAAAACGAGCTGGCTGTCGTATCTGAGATGGACTGCTGGCTGACTTGATCGTCGAATATCGACCCTGTTTGAATAGTCGAGTCTGCAATTGAAGATACGGATTCTATCAGTCGTTCAGATCTTTCTGAAGTCGTCTGCGCTCGAGCCTTCTCAAGGGACGTTGTCCCTGGACTAAACGACGGAGTCAGTCAGCGTCCCACTGTTGCGCTAGGGTAAGAAGCAACTGACACTTTGGGGGTAAACTTCCCGTTGTGCTCGGAGCTTAATTTTGGAAATCTCTGAAGCCAATTTGCCCGATCTGCCGAGTTTTTTGTGAAAGCATTGTCTAGATTTCTGATTCTCTCTCTCAAGCGTGCTAGGTACGATTTTCTTGGTTCATGTGTGTTTCCTCCATTGACAAGAAAATCATCTGAGCGATTGTAGTCGTTCTTGAACGCAATCAACCACCCAGGCGAGGAACTTTGGTGCGATGGTACTCCCGTTGCATGGGTCTCCGCTATGGGATTGCGGGGGGCTGAAGCCTCAACTTCTTTGTCGGGGCAAGTCGGTTCCACAGGAAGTCCCGCTGTCGTTGGTATCACCGCGCCGTTGTCATCACCGCTACCGCAAGGAGGGGATGGAGGCATGTCGTACACTGAGGAAAACCTTTTCGTCGCCCACAATGCTTAGGAATTCTGATAATTGAAGTTGTAAGGCGATGACAACATGGGAACGATCTCAGGCGGACCGCCGACTTTTTGTACCAACCCGAACATAAGTTAGCAGAAGAAAGGGGTTAACTTGTCCAGGATCGTGGACAAAACTTCTGGTTGGCCTGCTTGGTAAAACGCAATGTCGTCGTTCGTACCTTTCCCACCTACCCCCTGAGGTAAGGTACTTCAAGTCCTTGTATCCCACCAAAGCAGGTAGGCTGTGGACGTTTGTGGCGTTCATCGACCGCTCTCATTGGAAGACATCATCGATACAGTGCTTTGTCTGCCGGGCGCTAGGTATTTCCCCAGATGTCCTCGATTGTGGGAAAGTTCGACGTATATGACGTACCTCAAGCCACGATTAAGCAATCTTTGGTACGCTCGTGTGATCAAATTATGTCCATGCACTGAGGCTCGAATTCCGCTGGCAGGGAATTTCCAAGACCATACAACGGCGTTCTTCTTCATCGTTATTAGCCTGAAGCTTCTTTACGATGTCGATAAGATCATCCAGGAGCGCTTCAAGTGAGTCTAGGACTCGGGTTTCCCCCGCATAATACCCCGGATTTCGAGGAGGCTGGTGGTTTCCACATTGTCCACCTACCTTATTCGTCCCGGTGCTTGAGTGTCAGGGTCAAACATCACCGACAGCCGTTGAACAAGTATGTAGTTGTTGTGCTCGGAAATTCCGAGCGCAAGCTCTGAAGTTCTGAACTTCGTTGCCAGAAGAGTCTTGGAGTGGTACGTGCTGGGAGTAACCCCGCAGATCCGGTATTCCCGCAGCGGCACCGGCTCGGGCCTCTACCTGACCCTGAGACCCGCCGAGCAGTGAAGCATCTATGCGTTTCGTCTAGTCCGATAGCTATAATAATCTATAATGAAGCGGCTACAACTGTGATATTTGAGCTTTCAAGCCTCTTTGACAACTTCAGCTTCACGCGATCAACTGATACTTTTTTTTCGCATACTCTCTATTGACCTTCATCTATGCAAGCATCCAAACGACCCAACTTGCTCGTCATCGTCGCTGACGATCTGGGGTTTAGCGATACAGAGCCATACGGCTCCGAGATATCCACCCCGGCTCTGCAGCGTCTTGCCAAGGATGGTCTGCGTATGACAAACTTCCATACGGCCCCGGCATGCTCGCCTACAAGATCCATGCTTCTCTCTGGCACGGATAATCACATTGCTGGACTGGGCCAGATGGCCGAGTTCATGATGGGTGGGCGACAAAAATACGATGGTCACCCAGGATACGAAGGCTATCTCAACTTTCGCGTTGCTGCTTTGCCTGAGATACTTCAGGATGCCGGCTACTTCACTCTGTGCTCGGGGAAGTGGCATTTGGGCATGACTGCCGAAACCTCGCCCTCTAGCCGCGGTTTCAACAAGTGTCTTTCCTTTCTCCCGGGCGCTGGGAATCACCACAATTACGAGCCGCAACTTGATGCGAGACTTCCCCCTTTCATCAAGAGCTCTGGCTTCTGGATGGAGAACGACAAGTTTATCGATCGCAGCAAAGACTTGCCCGAGAACTTTTACTCGAGTGACTACTTCACCGATCGCCTGCTCAGCTTTTTAGAGGAGCGCACAGAGGAAGAGAAGCAGAAACCCTTCTTCGGATATCTAGCATACACCGCACCACACTGGCCACTACAGGCACCACGGGAGAAGATTGCCAAATACCGTGGTTTGTATGATGACGGACCGAAAGCTCTCCGAGATCGACGTCTGCGTCAGCTTCAGAAACTGCATCTGGTCCCGAAAGATGTCATTCCGGCGCCGGTAGACGTACCCGGTGCTGTTGAATGGAGTGAAAAGAGTGAACAGGATAGAGCCACAGCAGCCCGAGCCATGGAAATCTATGCGGCCATGGTGGACAAGCTCGATGACAATATCGGGCGTGTCATCGATCACCTCGAAGCCAGTGGCGAGCTCGACAACACATTCATCGTCTTTATGTCTGATAATGGTGCCGAGGGTTCCACCATGGAATCCATGCCCATCATGGGCTCACTGGGCATCCAGGAGACACTTCGCCAATTTTATGATAACTCATATGAGAACATGGGAAATGCCAACTCCTTCATCATGTATGGGCCGCAATGGGCCCTTGCTGCCACAGCACCTTCGCGAGGCTTCAAAGGTTTTACCACCGAGGGCGGCATACGGTGTCCGTGTATCGTGCGGTATCCTCCCCTTGTGAGGAAGGAGGGAGGCATCAGCCACACCTACACCAACGTCATGGATATCCTACCTACGATGTTGGATCTGGCAGGCGTGTCGCATCCCGGTACTACTTTCCGCGGTCGTGAAGTGGTCGCTCCACGAGGGAAGTCCTGGGTCCCGATGCTTAGCTCCAAGACGTCCGAGGTATACGGCGAGGGTGAGGACGTTGCCGGATGGGAGCTTTTCGGCATGAGAGCGATACGGAGAGGCAAGTACAAGGCTGTGATGTTGCCTCCACCTCATGGCACCGGCGCATGGGAGCTTTATGACATTGATAGGGACCCAGGCGAAACTAAAGACCTGGCCGCCTCAGAGCCGGGAGTTATGAGCCAGCTGCTTCAGGACTGGGAGATTTATTTCTCCGAAACAGGAATGATCGAGTATCATGTGAGAGGGGAAAAAGTTGCAGGCATGTAATATTCTGGAAAAGATGCATAACAGCTTAGCGTGGGACGCATACAGCAGGGGAAAAGCATCTGTTATGTCGTGCTTTTGTTACTATATATTGGACTTTGGGTGATTTATTTTTCTTTTTGTATATGTATCTGTATGTCCAATTGTTATGAGCTCCCTAGCCGGTGAGAAATTTGTGGTGATGGTTGAGATCTGAACTGTAGCAGTTGCTGATGTCCGCTTGTAGTTCCCACGCTCTATGTTTATAAGCCTTTTTATTCTTCTTCGTGTCTCTAATCTTGAACGGTATGTACTTGACAGACCGGAGACTGTTCATCATAGCTCTTTTCACAGACAGTGTCTCACCAACTCATTCTCGACACTGAGACCGTATTAATCGTTAACTTTATCCACCAACAGCCTATGAAAGCTTCGCTACCGCGCAAAACCATCCAGGCTTCCTCTGAGGGAGACTGCACCATCTCCACACTCCGCACATCAAGCATCTAGTACATGCGGAGAACATGCTCAACCTATCACAAATATATCAGTATCAAAGCTACCAGTTCTCAGCACCAAGGGAAACTTACAGCCGGGCTGGGGCTTGCAGCACTTCATCGTCTCCATGCCAACGGTGCCGGGCTCAGATCGCTGCCTCTCGCCAGTGATCTCACAAGTCGTCTGGCAGGGCAAGTCCTCAGGAAGATCACAGACCCACCCATTGGTGAGGCCTCGCGAGATAGGACCGACGTCCGACTTGCAGACCTCGGGGGCGGAGCGGCAGCCCGCCATGACGCCGAGGGACATGGAAGCAATAACGAATGCCTGGGTGAACTTCATGATGACTGATTTGTGTGTAGAAAAAGGATTGAATGTGATATTATTGCAAGATCGACTCGATGTGGTTAGCGGGTAGTTACAATCACATCTACAGAGCTCGAGCGCTACTACTTATACCTGGAAGCTGAAGGACCTACCCGGTCAAATGTATGTTGGCGTCCGCGTACCTCCGATCCCCAGTTTCTGTTGGCGAGTCTAATAGATTGGCTGGTCGTGAGTTCTGGCCTCATACTGGCTTTACACTGTTGATCATAATCCCCATGGACTTTTGATTCATGATCCGCTATTCTTCTCCGTACTGGCGAGTCAGTACGAATGAGACGAACGGGTCATCCCACGCGGCGACAAGCGAGTCATTGTACGTCGTTGAGCATCACCAGACTACAGTGCTTCATGCTGACCCTGAATACGGCAGGCTGGCCAATCGGTCTTGCAAGCCCCCACGGAGAATGAGGGTCATAGTATGACTCCCGCGGTGGTTCACTCGCGGTCTCAGTGTGGAGTCACCGCGTCAGGAGGTTTCCGCTGTGTGATGGTGTCTACGGAGTACTCTCTCGGGTCGTTGATCACTCTATAGATATCCTCTTCCTTTTATATAAAAGTTATGATAGTATGAAGCTCTCAATATTGGAAATTGGACCTTTTGGCATTCTATACCGCCTCGAATGACGTTGTAACGGGGCAACATACGATGCCCAACTATCTGTGCAAAGATAGAGTTCACCTCACACCTGTGTCTGATAAATGAACGGGGCAATGCCGCGGGCCGCCCACGGGCAGTGGAAGTTTCTGCAGTTGCGGCTATAACCAAGTGTCCGTGTTTGCGGCTCAACAACGTCCCGCGTGTTAGTGAGCCCGGCCGCAACCACAAGGAAGACATCGTGAATCCACTTTAGCCCACCAAAACTTCAAAAACATACAACACCAGGTATTCGCTGGTCGTCACCGACCCAACTACTAATCCGGCCCTCATTGGCTTATCTATGGGAGAGCGGACGGGATCCCGAGTTTTCCAATGGGTATGGTCGTATGTGGTTGTTAACGATGGTGAAGCAATTCATAGAGGCAGCTGCAAGTTGTGGAAGCTGGACGTGGCTGCACTTCTGGCTGCACAGTGCCACTAGAGCTGCAGGCAAACAAAGTTCCGCCCAAAGAGACCTTGAAGATGCTCATCTCATTTGCTTTATTCATTAGCATAGAAATTCGGATAAGTTAGGTGGACCCGAATTCACAGCTCAAGCGACGTGCCGGCCTGGAAGAGTAAATGAAGCTGGAGCGAAGCTACTTCCCACTGGTCTCATTGGCCAATTGAGTTTCCCTGTACACCTGCCTGTTGGGTCTGCGTTTTCCAGCCTGAGCAGGGGTTGGGTGCCGTGTTAGTGGGGCCGACCGGCCGGCCGAGAATGACCGCCGCTGCCCCTCAAGGGCGGGAGCGAGGGCGGTGCTCCCCAAGACACTTGCGTGGTAAGTTTCCTGTCATGACAACGGAACATAAGAAGGGTTCCTTGCTCCTCATAATTGCATTCCAAGCTCTCGATAGACCTCCAACGTAACTGAAGGCCACTGGCTACCTTAGTTGCAGCGAGGTTAGATCAACTGGAGCCTGATGAAGTGGGGATTTGACGATAGATTCGACGGTATTGTGCTAAGACCAGCCAGGAAACACGGCCAAAACCATTATGCGGACTGCCGAAAGCCGGTCAGGCCAGACTCTATTTTTCCCTTTCAGGTCAAACCATATGTCCTCGAGATCCAGCGCTGTATGGTTGTCTTTCCATAGTGCAAAGTTTGCTGATTATCAATCACGGTGGAGATTAGCACACAGCACCGAGCACAGGTACTTATATGCACTGGTTTCCCATAATGAGACGAGCACAGCTATCAACGAGAAAGTAATGGGAAGACGTTCACGATAGCCGTTCAAGATGGGCGTCTTCTCACCTGACAGTCTTCCGTCAGAGATTCTCCACGATATACTCAAGGTCCTCGAGATTAGTGATCCCTGAAAGCAAAATGACTAACACGCTATAGCATCTAAGCAAGCACGACCTCTGCAGCCTGCGCCTAGTAAGCCGCACATACGCAGCCTTCTGCCTCCCCCACATCCTCAAGCTCATCGCGTCAGAGCTCCAAGAGTCTCCAAAGAAGCCATTCGAATCGCCATCCTACATCCATCGGCTGACAAAAAGCTGCTCACACGATATGCTAGAGTCCGTCGTCAAGCTTGGCGTACCCACCGACGAGTTCAACGCGCAGGGCGAAGCGGCACTGCATGTGGCGGCCCGCCACGGCTGCGGGAGTGATTGCATTCGGATCCTTTTGGCTGAATCCGCGAACCCGGACGTGGAGAGCCGTCTTGGGTGGACGCCGCTCATGATTGCGACGAGGTACGGCCATGTTGAAGCTATCGCGGAGTTGATACGCGGCGGTGCTCGGCTGGATCGGAGAGGGTTTCATGGCTGGACGGCTCTACATGTCGCAGGCCAGAACGGCCGGGAGGATATCTCCGAATTGCTTGTAAGGGCGGGAGCAAGTCTGAGGATTGCCGATAATGATGGTTTGAAGGCGACCGATACTCCTGTGGGAAGGGTAAGCAGTCATCTCCCATGATAATATGTGAGAAGGCGACACAGGCTGCTGGTTTCCTCCGGTATCCCACCGCCATGATTCTGGAATGAGACAATCCCGCGCTTGGCTGCTGTAGATGAGTTGAAGGAAAAGACATCCCATTGGCATTGCAGCTAACTGCCTTGATCACCTAAGAGTATCGTGCGCATTTGCGCATGCCTCACCGAGCTGAGAATAGGGCGTGCTCTCCCCTCATGATGACTGATCTGTTGTTTCTGCTTACACACTCTTCAACATCCAAATACTTCACCGAGCCCTTCACCGAACATTACATGTCATTGCTAACCCGACGCGGAATGGGCCATTTCACTCTCTGGAGAATACGAACACGCGTGCCGTCGTGCACGGTACTTCCGAGTCGACGAGGCAGTCAAGGTATCTCACGGTGTCAAGCCATCCAATTGCCGAATCGAGTCAAAGGCTGCAGTGCGTATATGTATTTCTTAGACCGGGATCAGAAGTCACCTCACTTCCGGGAAGGATCCGATTGTGCGCAGGGGCAAAGCACCGGCAGCTCCATAATTCGCTCCGTCTTACGGCATTAGCTCGCTCAACCGATCTCCGGATACACTGCCCCGCCTTGCGGGCCGTGGCTTTATCTGTCTTACACTTGCGAGCGGGGCACCGGGGCTAACCTATCGGGGTACGCCGTCGCGGCCGCTAGGGCCTATATAGCAAATGATTCATCGCGGCTATGCGTTTCCAGGTGCAGATCACCCGTATACAGGGTGTCTTGCCTGCATCGTGCCAGATGAACATTCCAAACGCTAGTAGTGTGTGCGTGCGTGCATCTGAACTCATTGTGAGGAGTAGAAATAGCCATTGACTTCTCTTCACTCCTGACCATCACAATTACTCAGTATCCTCCAGACATTGAGAATCACATGAACGCCACATTAACACAGTCCGACAATCAGCACCTCAACTCAGCTTCGCCCGCCATGGACGCCTCGAACAAGCCCACAATCACGTTCTACGACATCATCCTCGATCCAAAAGCCTATCCAATGGCACCGAACCCGTGGAAGACACGGTACGTGAAACGACCCCCGCCCCCGCATTTCACTCGCGGGGAGAAAGACTTCAAACCGGCTAACATTCTACAGCTTCGCGCTCAACTTCGCCAAAGTCCCCTACCGCACAACCTGGGTTCCCCTCAACGCCGTCGCCGAGACACGCAACTCACTCCAACTCCCCGCCAACCGCAAACACGACGATGGCACTGACTTCCCCACCCTGCCAATCATCCGCGACCCCCTCGCCTCTTCCTCCAGCTCGGGAGAGAAGAAGGAAATCTTGGTAGGCGACTCATTCGACATCGCGCTGCACCTGCAAAGAACCTACCTCGCCGACAAAAAGCACCAACTCTTCCAGGACGGAGAAAACGGCAGCAGCACGGTATCTCTGCACCGCATCTTCAACGCTTTCGTAGACCAAGTCTTCAGCCAGTACGGCGCCCCGCTCGGCGGCTTCTACATGCCCCTCGACCCGCGCACCGCCGAGGCCGACAGGCAGTCGTTCCTGGACCGGTTCCCAGGCAAGAAGTGGGAGGACCTCGAGATCCCACCCGGTTCGGAGGTAAGGAAGAAGATGCTGGCGGATTTCGAGACGAACTTGGAGGCTAAGCTCGGTCCCTGTTTTCCTGCCGGGGGAGCGGGTCCATTTATGGACGGGCGCGAGAGCCCCGTGTATGCGGACTTTATTGTCGGTGGCTGGTTACAATTTATGAGAGGGTGTTTGCCTGAGTGGGAGGCGTTGAGGAATGAGTGGTCTGTTGGGAAGTGGGGGAGGCTCTTTGATGCGCTTCAGGAGTGGACGGACGTAGATGGGCGAGAGGGCGTCGTCCCGGCGAGGCCATGAGAAGACAGTCTTCCCGTAGACTCAGCAGGTGTTCACTCTGAACTCTACAAGTATGGAGTTCTTGATCGCAGGGACTGAATTGGCTCCAAAAGGTTCGCGGCTTTCATAGTTCAAATGTTTGCTTGCTTCAAAGTTTATCCTTGCCATGAAGCGTTCGTGGTGTGGACAAAGACCACACTATCCCGTCAACGTACGCTTGCGAGCAAGTCTCGCTACGCTCCCACGACGAATCGAGTATTCCGACCAAACATCTCAACATCTGATGAGATCCAAACAAGACGCATCAGCCTTCAGACCTTCCCACCTTTCCACTCCCACCACACTTAAGCGGCACCGCAGTAAGCGCTCTTCCACAACAACCCATTCGAGCTCCTGGAAGCAACGCAGCCTCCCGAGCCGCTATTAAACCCAATCCGCCCCTTGGCGCCACCGCAGTTGTATCCGTCATACAGATCGCACCCGCCGCTCGTCTGGGCCCCGTTACCCCGCCACGCGCCGGCGACGTTGAGACTCCCGCTGGCGCCCGGCATGCCGAGCGAGAAGCAGTCGCCCGCGCTCCCGCCGCTGACGTACTCGGCCGCGCGCGGGGAGCGGGTCCACCACGCCGCCGTCTCGCTGGTGTAGGCGGAGCAGCCGGAGTTGGAGTAGAAGTTGATCTGCACTGCTTTGCCGGATTCATAGTTTGCTGAAACGGGGGTCGCCAGATGGAGGGCTGCTGCTGCGAGGAGCGTGAGGATGGATGGGGCGTACATTTTGGGTGGTGGAGGAGCAGGTTTGTTCGATAGTCGTTTGTGAGAGATGGAGGAGTTGATGATGGGCAATAGGAAGTTTGCTTGAACTGGATGGCTAAGGGCTGGATGGTAGGTACCACAACCGCCCGAAGCTGAGGTTATATACAAATCCTGCTCTCGAGATTTGAGGCTGCCAGCTGCCATTACAAAACCATCGACTCCATTCTATGAAGCAGACAGACATTGAAGCAAAAGTTGATGCCTAGACTAATGGAATTTCGACTGGCTTCTTAGTAAGGACTTCCTTGGTACACTCTGCTAGACAATTCTACCTTCCAGTCTCGTCCCTAGGAGCCCGTAATCGTGGGGACTCTCAGGAGTGGGCGCTGATTCAGCTGATCCTTTGATGCAACTTAAACTCGACGGGATGAACCACGCGGGAGGACCCGTCCCGCTTATTTCGGGCTGCAGCATGTACGGGCAAGGGTGTACCCTGCGGGGTCGGTAGCGGAACTCCGCCGGCTTTGGAGTAATCGAGAAAAAGAGGACACTAGACTTTGTTTTTATGGATATTCGATCGAGGCAACGGCCATGGGACTCGAGAACAAACAGAAAGCTGTCTTGGACTACCGGCAAAAGTGCCAGAGTCACGAGATTACATCGCAGAGCCCACGTTGTGAGAAATTGGAGACACATAGAGCTATCTACGTTCTCTGCAAATCCTGCGACGTTGACCAAGATTGTCTGCCACGTCTTGAACATTGCAACTGTACAAGTCTCGCCGACGTCTACAAAATTGATAACAATATTGAATCGAAGCCATTGTTTCAAAGCCAATCCTCGCCAACTCCCATACACCCATCTTTTCAACCCCGTCCATCACATGTAGTCCATAAACCACAGCTTACACCAAAACCTCACTTCAAGCCCTCACAAATCATCAATAAGAGGACTCAAACCCTGCGCCGTCCCAATCTTATCCTCAAAGAACAGCTTCAACCGCTCAACACGTATTCGGTCCCCCATAAACCTCTCAAACTCAACCGGATTCGTCGTCTCGACATCCATGATCCCGGGGTACCCCGCCGGCGGCGCTGCATCCTTCCTCACACTCCACAACCCCGCGGCCGTCGCCGCCGACTGATACTCATCGCTCAGCATAAAGTTGTGAAGCAACTTCGCGCCCTCCGGACGCGGCGCGTCCCTGAAGACAGCCGCCCTCTGCGCCCACGTCACAAAGGTGCCATTGGTGGGTATGGACACGTTCAGCGGCGCCGGGGGAGCGAGGCCGATGCCCGCGGTGAAGGTGGCGGAGAGAGTCGTGTCGGGCGAGGTGAGGAGGGTGACGGGCGTCCCGGTGCCGCGGACCCAGCGCGGGTTCTGCGCGAGGAGCTTTTCAAACCATTCGTAGCCGAACTGTTGCATGCTGTTGAAAGAGAGTGTTAGCTGAGTCTCAGCTACGATCTGTCTGGACAAAAGACTTGGCTTTTGGTTTAGGGGGGAAAGCCCGGAAGAAGTAGCTGTACTCACATCAGATCAAACGCATACAACACCGCATCATCATCGTTAGGATACGTAAGAACAAGCCGATCCTTGAACCTCGGCTCCAAGAAATCCGTAAACTCTTGCGGGCCATCCTCCTCCCGGTCCGCATTCCAGATAAACGTCCACGCAAAAACCGAAACCCCGTACCACGCGCCGCGAACGTCCCGGAACGCGGGGTGGATCTTGTCAAAGTTGACGGGCTGGTAGTGCAGCAGTGCGCCCTCGAGGTCCCAGCGCGGGTAATCGTGCAAGGTCTGCAGGATCGCCGTGTCGACGTACAGCGCGCCCGCACCGCCGCCGGCGCCGCCGAGAGCGGAGAGGGCGAGCTGGCGGTCAATGTTCCCGTCGTGGAATTTGGACACGTCGACGGTGATGTTGAGCGTCATGCCGGGGAACCGGGACTCAAAGGCCCGCTTGAGGCCGTCTTGCTGGTTCGTCTCGTCGCCTCCGTGCCAGGCTGTGACGATGCCGCCCTCGGCGAGGGCGGCTTGGTGGATCTCGTCGAGGGTGCGGGTTTCGATGATGGGGGCGCCATTGAAGCCGAACCTTGTGTCGTATGCTGCGGCTATGGTGGCGAGGCTGGTGGCGGTCAGAAGAGTTAAGCCGATCATCATGGCGAGAGGGATTGGCCTAAGTCGATGATGAGGGGGTGAAGTGTGTAAGTATAATCCAAGTCGTGGAGGGAAGCTGAGGATGATGAGGATGATTTTGCTCTGATGAGAAGTCATACTATGAGGGATGCGACATCCGCTATATGTATCAAAGTTGAACAACACCGCTATTGCTTGGAAACATCTTGCCGTGTAAGTCTACAACGAGACTACGGGCCGGTCAACAGCATTGATTCTCCCACGGCATCTCTGTTCAGACCACTCCTCTGCTGAATAATTCAGATCATCCAGCCTATGCCACCTTCAAGGCTCAACGTCGCAGAACCTGCATGTTCTGGCTCGACCCAGATCGCGACGACTTCAAGAAAATCTCAATGTTGGTAAGCATCGCGGTCACAAGCAGTGTCTACTCCAGAAAAGGTGGTGAATAAAAGAGCCGACGCGCGCGGTAGACTTACAAACCCAGTGGGGACCTCCAGCCCCGGCCGACCCCACCTCATGAAATAATGTCGCCGTAAGGTATTAGTCTGCTTCTCTCTAGCGTCTTCTCCCCTCACTACATCGACCACGCCGCATTTTCTAGTGTTTGTTGGAAAGAATATCTGCTTTGCCCTGTCTCCGTAATCGGAAGTATGGGCTGACACATGCCACGGCCGTGGCCACGGCCGTGGCAGTCAGGCCAAGTTCCCTGATGAAGATGAACTCTGCCGAGATATCGTGCAAGAACGGAAGAGGGCGAAAGTTGATGCCAGGGACTAGTTTGAATTCACATTACATGACGCACCGGGGCCATCCAAAATTTAAACAATAAGCTTATTCCAATACACGCCGCCGAACATTCTACAAGTGCACTATACAGTATTTCGAGCGTTGTTGAGCCCCATGTAAGTAAACTCCCGACAACCTCTGATCGGCAAAAGCCAAAGTGAATGAGTGAGCCAGACTAGGTAGCGGGTTCAATACTGTATGAGTGACGATAGCCGCTGCGGTGAACATAGTCGTCGTTGTCGTTCCTGCGACCATGATAAAGAAATTCCCCAATTAGGAAACATGCTTGCCATGGATGAACCACTTTTGCATCTTGACCTCGTGCTCGTTTTCGGATCGCCGGCCGCTTGGGGGCTGAGAGTGGGTAGGGGTCACTTCCCGTAGCTTGGTCAGCATCGCATGATACCTAGGCAACAAGACTCCCTGATCGGAAGCTGGCGTCGGAAGCGGGCAGCGCCATCCAATAAGGGTCCGACATGTTTCTATAAGACCACCTTACTGACCAATGAAGAGACGTGAGTCTCGTGGATTTCTCGTAGAATCATTATTTCCCTGTAGTGGTGTCAGGAGCGAGGGCTCGCACTGACAGCATAAGACAGAGAATACAATGCAAATCTATTAATCTAGTACCATATTGAGAAAAACAGCCAAACTCCAAAGCTATGCTACGAGGGAAGGGGGTATCTCAGCTCCGGACCATGCTACAACACCTAGCACTAGCTGCTCTCTGCTTCCAGAGCGCGCTTAGTGCCCTCCTTTGATGCCACATACTGATACACATTGGGGTCACCACCGGTCAACTTCAACAGATGACGCTCGTACGGCCCGAGGGGCTCCTCCACCAAGGTCCTCCCTTTGGGACTAGTAGGAGCATTCTCCTTAGGGCCACAGTACTCCCAAACCCAGCGACCATCAGAGTCGGCGTCGGCAGGATGCTTCATACACTCTTGCTGATCCGACTTAGGTTCCCAGACTGGATGGTGCGGAACCGGGTCTTCATAAGCCGCATTCGAGTACACAAGCCGCCAATTCTTCTTCATAGCCGGGTTGTCCCACTCTCCAAGGTCATTCAACCCCAGGCCCTTGCAAGCCAGGCGGATACGGACCGATGAATGGATGCGCTCGTTCGTGTCCGTGAGGAAAGTAGCGGTTCGAGCATCCGTATGAGCATTGACTTGTTTGTACAAGCCAGGCGAGCGAATGATCTTTCCGGCCAAGGTGTAGAGAAGGTTCGAGGTCTTCTGAATAGAACCGAGACCCCAAGGCCGGAGGGGGTGGTTCTGGCCGTAGACGGGCTCCATTGCCCACTTGATGCTTTTGTCCTTGATTTGGGCCCTGTAAAAAGAATTGGACTGCTGCACGCAGCGTTCGAGTGCGAGATGGTTAAACTCGACACCAATGGATGCCAGCTGATCCATCATCCCTGGATCGCAATGTTAGGTATTGACCAGATACATCATGGAGGTAGACTTACAGGCAAGAGTGATGTTAGAAATTCCCTGATCGTTCCAGCCGCCACCGCAGTTTGAGTGGTTTCCCGGGAACCAGACTTGTCGAAGATCAGTCGTATGCCTATTAGCCTTAAGACGTTCCCAGACAGCTGGCTGGAAGGAATAGCGCGTCTCGTCGAGAGCCAGAGCCTGGAATGCGTGTTCGACTCTGTCAGACAGGCTCGTGTCCCAGAATCTAAACTCGCGGTTCGACGCGTAGATCCCAAGCTTGTTCAACCAGGCAATTTGAGGGATGCCCAGGCTACCGACAGTGTCCCAGACGGCTGTTTTTGGTGTCAGTTGTGGAGTTACACTAGGGTTGGGGGTTCCTTACCAACTGCTTTGACCTTGATGATATCCCCTTGGCCCTCATTCTGTTTGACACGGGTCATGCCGAGCTATGCAGGTTAGCATCTAGTACTCTTCATCACAGGGAACGTCGGATTTACCTTTTCTAGCCTGGCCCTGTACACCTCCGCCGCCCCCTCACCCTTGGGTTTGTTGTCGAACGGCATCGTGGGGAACTCGTCGCGGTAGCGGTGGTTGTTCCAGTTCTCCATGTCTTTAAAGATGGGCCAAAAGTGCTCGACACCTTCACGGGTCAAGAGTCCCAGGTCGGAAATCATGCCAGCGACGGAACGAACAATGTAAGCGCCACGAGAGAAGCCGACAAGGATGATCTCGTCGCCGTCGCAGTAGTTGGCGCACAGGAAGCTGTAAATGTTGCGAACTCGCTGTCGTGTATATTAGTACTTGTTCAACCCCCCTAATCAGATGGGAAAGGAGTCACGTACCTCTCCGAGACCGAGGCCGAAAGCACCGCCAGTAAGGGTGTCGAGGGTATTGCTGCCCGTGCCGACGCCAGACTCGTACTCGATGACTTGCATTCGACCATCGCTGCACCTCCGGCGAAAACACCTCGAGATGCGAGTCACATTTGAGGGAATCTGCAGCGACCCCTTGGGCTTGAGGAGCGTGGGCTTAACGTATGCACTCTCTCTATGGGGTTCCAGTCAGCAAACAAGATCAGTGATACCAAGCTGGGGAAATTGATTTAGTGACATACGAATTCATCCAGGTGCCGTCGCAGCACACGATCAGTCTCTTCGGGGAGTAGCTCATGTTAGCGGCTGGGGCGACCATGGCGAGCAGTAACCTGTCAGCAAGAAGAGGGAGGAGGACGGCGTTGTCTCGTAGGTTCTAGGTGTAGGTAACGAGAGGCGATGGGAGCAGAAGAACTGATGGAGATGAGGCGGTGAACGGAGGGATGGACGTCAAATCAGAGTAGAAGGGAGAAACGGGAGTCAAGGGGGGATTTCGGATCAGTTGCCGAGTCTTTTGGTTGAGCCTGGGTTTCTTTGAACGTTGAGTGGATATCGTGAGACTTGCAATCTTTACCTTCCCAGGATGCAGAAGCGGATGCTCCCTTCTTTATAACAACAGGGGGGGCGGACTGTGGGAAGCGCAAAGTACCGAACAAGGCATGCGGGAGGCACAGAAGAGGCATGAGAAAACGGAGCTAGGGAATCCGTAAGGCTACCCTATGAGGAGCTGTCGGGGAGGCATTCGCGAGTGAGATCCGGGCATTCCAGAGAGAGAGACATGAACAAGAGCAAGAGGAAGGAACCAGGAAGCGCGCAGGCGCGCCCTTCTCTCGCATCGCTCGCTTCCATCCACCACAATTGCCCACTTGCGCGAGAAGGGTGGGAGGGAAAACAGCCAAGAACGAGGCTGAAGTCTGACATTGGGAGCACAGAATAGGGAATAGGGAAGAACCAGGCAGGCGTTGCGGTGAGGGATGACTCTCGTGGCTGTTTGTTGAGCAAGAGCCCGGGGGCACAGCATTGCAGAAGAGAGGCGGGGCAAGAAGCGATCCAGGCATCAGAATAAGAGTTTGTAGCATCGAATACCTACCTTTGCGGCATTGGATGGTTCTTGCCGCCTTGATTGGTCGCCTTGCGGCTTACATCGTTTGAGCAGTGTACCTACCCTTGGGAAGGTATTTAGTACCTATGCAATGTAAGCGGGAAAGCGCAAATGTGGTGTTCTTGTCATCATTTGGGTGGATCGTGGGGGTGGGTGGTTGCACAGGGCAGGACTCGCTTGGCGGGGGCCGCCTTCCCATCATTGAGGACTCAATTTTCGGTGGCTTCTTGTGATGGGTGACACAGAGTTGCGGTAAGAGAAAAGGCATCTATTGGGTATCTCCGTTCAAGAACTTGAATGACAAAGACGAGTCTTGGAGTCACTTGCCGTGGAGGCGCTCAGCCTCGATGACATTACCAGTCACCTGCTCTCAAAGAATGGCTGAGAGGAACGAGTGTGAGCTCAGGGTAGTAATAGAGGAACAAATCCGTCGTCAATTGAATGACAGAGCCTCCACAACGGACAATTTTAGGAATTTGCAGTATCATTCGAGTCGCCTGCCATAGGTCAGCTTCTTCAATCGCTAAAGAGCTTATGGAAATGAGCAGGCGGGCAGTGCCGCACATCTGCATCTCGCTGAGCCATTGAAGAGAGGCGTCTGGGCATTGGCAAGGAAGAGACGGCACAGGGGAGAGCGACGGTCTCTTGCCTCTTGGGGCAGGTGACTGGGAGGTTCATTTCCACCAGAGGCGACGAGCAGGCGAACCAATTGACTGCAGACGTCTTGGGAAAGGTACCAAGGCAACCGTTTTGAGGCTCTCGATCCCGGGAGTTTCGTAACAAAATATGTCAACCGGGTTATGGAACTTTATTGGTATTGTTACTAGGTAGTTTACTGACATGCAAATACAGTTGCACCAATTCGGACTAGACATATGTCGTGGGATGGGCATTATGTTAAACTGACTAAACAAGTGACGACAACAATGACAGAATCAAAGTTAAAAGGCACCACATTACCCGTCTGCCACTCACCATTCGGCAACTCTCAATCTTCCACAACCTTAGCTTCACGGGAAAGCCGCCGTGCATACCCCGCCAAAAATGACTGCATCAAGCATCAGTTGTAAGACCATACCCATCAACATCTGTCCATCCAACCAGCCCAGCCCTACGATCGGGATCGCCCAGTCCCGCATCTCACCTCAGATTTGAGAACCACTCCCTGCTGTCCTAGACCAACCCTCATGAACCTCGTGATCGCCAATAGCGCACACTGCGAATACCCGTCGTGAGACCCTGCCTCAAGGTCAGACTTTGGAGCCGCATTAGACTATGCCGACGAAATGCGGGAGCGGGCATTCCGAGCAGTCATGATGGGATGAACCATCCAGCCTTGAACAACATCAGCCAGAGAACTCTACCAATCACTCTGTTTTCTACAGGGAAAACGTTCCGTCTTTCGAGTAACCGAATCAACGAAAATACGCACCAGCGCAAGTGCTCACGCAAAACATTCCGTAATCAACCACTCCCAAAAAGCCTCCGCCACACCCGTATCCCGTCTGACTGTACTCTGCAGCCCAAACATCTCGAATGACTCCCGTCTTACTTACCCCTCCAGCAATGAACCTTACCTAGTCTCTCATCCAATCCGCATCCGCCTTCTTTCCTCTCCCTTCCCAAATCCCTAACCTCCAAAATCTCCCGCACGAAGGCCGCCGAATTTCTCACGATGTAAAACACATCCACTAGCACCCAACTACCCACCACTGGCCCCCACAATCACACGCAAAACCCACCCGTAACCCACCACGATGCTTACCTGGGGCAATTCTCCCCTCCAACGCCTTCATCAACTCGCCCAGATCGTCTAGTTGGTTAGGATGATACGTTGTGGTTCTTCTATACAGCGATCCGTGTTGACGGCGGTTCGAATCCGCCTCTGGGCAGTCGAGGTCGCTCCACCTGGATCGATTTCCTTTTTTTCCCTTTTTTAAGTCTGCATCTCGAGCGTTTCTTTTTTTGGCTGCCCATCTTTCTTTCCTTCTTTTGCGTACTATCATGCTTAACTCAGTCGAGTCTCATCCCAAATCCAGCCTCACTACAAAACCCTGTCTCACAATCAACCACTCCCTTTGATGCGTCGCAGCCTAAACCCGTCACATCACGAGACCTCTCAGGTAGCTAGATTCTCAAAGGACGCCAAAGTCTCAACCTCCAAAGGGTAATTAATACCTACCAAATCCGACCAAATACCCCAAGGGTGGGATTGGCCGCGACCCGGTTCGTCTTGGCAAGCCTCCGAACCACCGCCGCCACCGAAGAAACTTTCCAACGCCATCAGCCGCAACACACCAGGCTCCAACCAATCACGCCAAGAAATTGACCCCAATACCATCCAAATTCGGAAGGAAAAGACACAAGGCCAAAATAAATAAATAAAGAACCTCAGCTACTACCTGCAAGGAGACCCAGAAGAACCTTAATTATCGAAAAACTAGAAACGCGCCATCTCATCATCCCGGGATAGTTCAGCTACTGCGAAACATTGCCGCTCAATAGTGTTCTTTTCAATCCCCAGCCCTACATCAGGTCCGAACAGTGGCGCGGCAGCGGAAGCAGGGAGAGGAAGAGTCAAACTTGACTTCACCTTGTCGGAGCAAGCCCGAGACTGCCAAGACTGTTGTTCTAGACACGTCCAGTCACCGGATAATCCATCAAAACACATTGAGCTAATGTCAAAGTTGGCATGTCTTGAATTTTGCCGCCCGTCGTTCTGACGGCGGTCTGTCTATTGCTTTTTGGTCGCTATGCTTTACGTACTCAAACACGATATCAGACATCGCTAAGATATGTGAATAAAAAAATCAGGCACACAAACAGGATGGGTATTGCATCGTAGTATGCTCAGCGCAACATGCAAACCGGGCCGTTTCATTTTGTTGTAGTACGGATACTCTTGTTCCAGTACTGACTGCAAGCAGCTCTCATGCTGCGAATCTAGTGCAGGTGGTTCCCTTTGAACCTGCACTGTATTTTCCAGACCTCGTAAACCCAAGGTGCTCAAATATGCTCAAACCAAGTAACGCGCGAGAAAACCCTCCCTTCCGCCTTCACGGAGAACCCTTACTTAATCTTCCCCAAACAAGATACCGTGGTGCTCTGCGCACAGCTGGTCGAATCCCAGCCAATACACGGTCCCGTTGTCGTTGGCAGTGTCTGACCAGGCACCTCCATCGTTCTCCCGAATGTCCTTGGGATACGGGTGTGCGGGATACCACACTCGGCCGTCAATCAGCTCAGGCATGTAATGTTCCTCCTGCTGGAACCAGTTGATAGCGGAACGGATCAGGGAGCGGCCGTAGGGGAAGAACCACATGCGAGGCCAGAACACGTCCAAGGCTCCCTTCTCTCCGGTGACGTGCAGCAGCGGGAACGTCTGCTTGGTCACAATGTTGGCGCCGAATTCGGACTTGCGGATCAGCTCGTTCACTGTCGCGCCCATCGTTTCGTCCTCGGTTGTGTTGAAGATGCGCTTGAGCGATTTCATGCCGTCCGCTTGCATATGCAAGCTCCAAGGCACAAAGGTGGAACTGTTGCGATAGTTTTGTGAGATTTCGACCGAGTACAGGTGGCGGTCAAATTTGCGCCAGTTCACCCACTCGCCGTAGCCAGCCCATGTCTGGAACATCAGACTCCAATAGTCCATGGCGATGTGGAAGTTGTAGCTGTACGCGGGCTCCAACTCGGGAACCCAGCCGTCTTCCGGAGGCAGCATGACGGCGGCATCGGGATTTTCCTCCTTTTGCATCTGTATTCTCTCAAGCTCCTGCAACCCCCAGACGTCGCTCATGTAGAACTGGTCGCTCTCTCTGAACTCGTATTCCGGGTCGTACACTTCGTTTATTAGGTCGAGAGTGGCTCGGAACATCTCGCGGACCTCCTTGATGGGACCAATAATGGTGCCGCTGTTGAGCCATCGGGGGTGGTTGAAGGCCATATCCTCGCCAGTATTCGTGAGAGGGCCGAACTCGTGGCCGTCCATGTTGGGGACCGGAGGAACCGCCCAGCAAGCCGGACGCCGCCAGTCCACGGGCCAGCAGACCTTGTCCGCGCCGAAGAAGATATGTCGGCCCATCGGACCAGCCAGACTCTGGGCCCTCTCGGGTCCCAGCTGCTGGATGATTCGCTCGTCTTCCTTGGCTGCTGCCTTGAAATATCTCTCAATCAAGACATCGGGGCCAAACTGGAGAAGGACGTCATAGCCATCAATCATCATGAAGAGATCGTCGTTGCTGGATTCGGGCAAGTCTTCGAGGTACTTGGTGACGACGCGGATCTTGGCCAAGTGGGACAGGGCAGCATCGTTTTCGCCGGTGCCGTTCCATCCTGCAATGACCGGCGCGCCGAAGCGGTTGGCGGTAGACGAAACGAGGGCGCGGCAGAACTGCAAGTTCGGGGCGCTGGCGGCGATCAGGAAATGGAAACGGCCGGTGCCTGCGCGGGCGGGTTTGGCCCCCTTGGTGGATGGCGCGGAGGATTTACTTCCGGTGGGGAGAGAAGCTGAGATGTCGGACTGTGGGAGGAGGCCATTGTCAGTACAAATGTCAAGCGCAAACAGCTACAACGGGTGTCTCAGAGTCCCGCATCGAGGAGTTCGGTCGAAGTTTCAGCCCAAGTCGGCACGTGGGTGCGCATTCTTCCTCTCCTGGGGGATAAACTGCCCCAGTAGACGGGGGGCTTGCGACGGCGATCAAAAAACGACAAGAAGTTTGAAGTAACAACAGGAAACAAAAAGGAAGGAAAGAAGCTTACCCAGCTCAGGTTCTCCGGGTAGAGGGACTGTGAGAAGATGAGAAGCGCCGAAACGATGACGAAAGCGGCCAGCAGAACGAGTCTGCGGCCTTTCAGAGCCATCAACATGGGTGCGACTCGGGTTTCATTTAGCTGCCGGATTGGCTTGAGATCCAGGTTGGGCGATTTTGGGGGGGTTGGCAAGCGGGCAAGCGGGCTAGTGCAGTGCAATGCAATGTTGGTTTGCGACGGCGGCGATGAAGCGATATCCACGAGAGAGAAACGAGGTCGAGCGTGCAACTTGGGGTATTAGAAAGACGGTAACGAACCAAATGAACACCTAAGGGCCGGCAGTAACGAGAGTAAGGAAGGAAAGTAGAGAAGAATATGCACACTCCCAGGACTCGAGGATCGTCGTCGTTGTTAAGGGGTTGGAGGGTAAAAGAGAAGGGGAAGAAATGAGTGGAAGAAGTTGACTGTGGCAAGAAATGCTAGGTGACAGATGGCGGATGGAGATGGGCGGGGAGTTTTTTTCCCCTGGGTTCAGGTTGAGGGCCAGGAATTGCCAAGGCCAAGTGCCAAAGTCAGTATTTCCAAGAGCTGTCAGGCCAGAGGAACAGGAGACGCCCGTTGCCGCTGAGAATGCTCTTTTATTCCCACCCTCGTGGTCGAACCCCTTGGTCTCAGTATCGTCTACTTTTGTCTTGGTGTGCTGCTCTTCTCGGTAAAGACAGGCGTGTGGGTGGTCATGTGTCGACGCGGAAGAGAGATGGAGAGAGACACAGGCTGTCGACCGATACGGCTGTGACTTGAGCCGCACTGAAGTTTGAGTTGG